GTAGCAACATTTTGGCTAAAAGGTAAATGTAGAATGATAGCTAAAAGTAAAAGTAGCAGAATGACACATTAAAGCTAAATGTAGCAGAATGGTGGCTAAAAGCTGAAAGTAGCAAAATGTTGAATAAAAGCTAAATGTATCCAAGTAGTAGCTAAAATGTAAAAATAGCAGAATGGTAGCTAAATGTTAAAAGCAGCAGAATAGTGTCTAAAAGCTAAAAGTAGCAAAATGTTAACTAAAAGCTAAAATGTAGCTAAAAAAAAAGGTAGTTAAAAGTTAAAAGTAGCAGAATGAGAGCTAAAAACTAAAAGCAGCAAAATGATAATATTAAAGCTAAATGTAGCAGAATGCTGACTAAAAGCTAAAAGTAGCAAAATGTTAACTAAAAGCTAAATGCAGCCAAGTAGTAGGTAAAAGGAAAAATAGCAGAATGGTAGCTAAATGCTAAAAATAGCAAAATGATAATATTAAAGCTAAATGTAGCAGAATGGTGACTAAAAGCTCAAAGTAACAAAATGTTAACTAAAAGGTAAATGTAGCCAAATGGTAGTTAAAACGTAAAAATAGCAACATGCTAGCTAAAAGCCTAATGTTGCAGAGCAGTAGAGAAAATATAAAAGTAGCAACAGGCTAACTAAAAGCTGAATGTAGCAACAACAAAAAAAACATAGCAAGTATGCTGAAGCAGATTTTAAATATATATTTTCAAGGAATTAAACAAATCTTAATGTATTTTATGGTAAATATATTTACTCTGAATAAAACTCTGAAAAGTATAAACATTACAAAAACCAAAAGTCTTTTTTTTTTTGTATGTCTTCTATTGTGCAGCCAACCCGTCTGCTCCAGGATTTATTTTAAATGTCCTTTGGTTTTTATTTGAAGCACTAAGTGCTCATGTTTGGACCTTCATCCCTTAAAGCGTTCAAACTGATGGAAGCTGATCAAAGCTTTGAAGATGGTCGAACACAAAGCACACAAACTGCATTCATGTGTGATATTAAATGTGCTGCTTTTAAAGGATTAATCTTGATAAATATCTGCCAGCCAGGTTAAAGAAAATCCTTCATACTTTTCTTCATTTGAACGTCTGGTCAGAGAAAAAAAAATAAACAGATTAAAAAGCATCGAACATCAAAGGAGTTAGCAGGAAAACTGTCTAGACATGAGCTGAAACGGTTTGCTCATTTCATAAAGTCTTTCTTAAAACTGTGGTTAATTTCAATTTAGCACAAGGTGATCCAACAAAACCATCAGATCCATAAAGTCAAAGATGTTTGTTTACAAACTCTGCAATGTTGGTTTTCATGGTGACAAATTATTCTTTTAAAACATTTAGTTATTTATTTTATCTATGGATATGGCGTAATCGTACATTAATGTATGGATATATGCACCTTTATGCACACGCGTTCAAACATCACACACACGTGACCTGTGCTGGCAAAATTAGAATGAAAATAAAAATTTAGATTTTTACCATAATTCAGATTTGCATAGAAATAAGTCCATAAATACACCATGGAGTGATAACATCGATCTGTTTTTAAATATAAGATTTCTGACAGGTATGTCTTCAGAAAGTTTTTTTTTTAATCACAACCCTTTAAATTTCCTTTTAATTTGGCCTGCATATAGCTAGGAAATCCCTTCGTATAATCACTGTGAAAGTCTGGAAAAACCCATTTTAAATTTAAGTCTGGACATTCGGACGACATCACTCCAGGTTAATAAAAATCAAGTTTTCAAAACTGGCATTCTCTTAAAGGGCAGCGCGGTGGTGCAGTTGGTATAGCTGACGCCTCGCAGTGAGAAGGTTGCGGGAACCAATCCCGGCCGGGGGGCTATTCTGGGTGGAATTTGCATGTTCTCTCCGTGCATGTGTGGGTTTTCCTCGGGTGCTCCGGTTTCCTCCCACAGACCAAAAACATGCATGTTAGACTGATTGGTAACTCTAAATTGTCTCTAGGTGCGAGAGAGTGAATGGTTGTTTGTCTCGTTTGTCTCTATGTGTCCCTGTGATGGACTTGAGACCTGTCTAGGGTGTCCCCCACCTCTCGCACTGCTGAATATGGGCACCAGTGACCCCAGCAACCCGAACAAGGAAGGAAAAGGATGAAGTGGGTAAAGATAATGGATGGAAACTAATTCATGAAGGAAATTCTCATGATTTTATTTCTAAAATTTACTCTTTTCTGTTGAATAATGGTCCTAAAACTGTTCTACACTGGTCCAGAGGGAGGCGGGAGGCGGATCTGAACACCACAGTCGACAAACGTTTACAGTCAGATTTATGCCAGGACAGTCTATATCAGCTGAATGTCCGCTTCAGTAAAAAGCACCAAAAGATAAAACTCACAAAATGCTAGCTAAAAGCAGCAAAAGATTAGTTAAAAGCTAAAAGTCGATAAATACTAGCTATAACGAACATAGAAAAAAATAAACTAAATGTAACAAAGGCTAACTAAATGCTAAAAGTAACAAAAGAATCAGAACACTAAAAATAACAAAAGACTAGCTAAATGCTAAAAGTAGCAAAAAGCTAGGTAAAAGCTAAAAGAACTAAAAGGTTTGTTAAACATGAAAGAAAAAGGCTTATTAAATGTAATAAAAGCTTAGTTAAAAATCAAAGTAAAACACATCAAGGGTAAAAGAACAAAAGGATAGTTCAAAACTAAGGTTTTTTTTTTAAATGTAAGCTAAAAGTAGGCAAAAGGCTAGCTAAAATATAAAGGTAGCAAAACATCAAAACAGTAAAAGAACTGAAAGTAGTTTAAAGCTAAAATTAGCTAAATGTAAGCTAAAAGTAGGTAAAAGGCTAGCTAAAAGCTAACATAGGGAAAGACAAGTTAAAAGTAACAAAAAGTTAACTTAAAGCCCAAAGTAACAAAACATTTTTTTTTAAATCTACCAATAAGCTAGCTAAAAGCCAAAGCAACAACTGAAACAAACTTTTGAAAACGTTCTTCATTACAAAATCCAACAGTCTTCTGAATGAGCTGAACATGCTGATATATGAACGACTAAATAATTAAACGTACAGATTAAAAAAAAAATGGGAAAACAGCCCGCATGCACACAAAGATGTTTAACGAGGCGTCAGCTTGAACTTGATTTTGACGTTTCTGCACAGGGATGTTACTGAAGTGCACATTCTCATAATAACGACATAAAAGTCATTTTATTGTGACAATGTTTTACAGCTGCTCAGCAAATACATTTTGATTTACTTCTCACCAGTAGTCTACGTGAGTAGCTGGTAGTCAGTTGTTTACGATAAACGTTGTCCAAGTATTTAAGATTGAATATTGGCCGTCTCTAACGCCTCCTCCTCTCTTCTTCTTCTCAGTCTTCCTCACAGCCGAGGGCTTTGTGCCATCTTAATAAATCTCAACCCACAGCCTGCAGATAATGACTACAGCTGTCCTAGGGGCTTCCGTCTAACACCCCCCACCCCCAGCTCCTCTCTCTTCCCTCGCCTTGAGCCAGACGGTCACACGGCCGGCGGGCACGTTGAGGCTGGGCAGATGTCCAGTTTATACAATGATGAAGCAAAACAAACAAAATAAAAATATTAGGAGTTTTTTGCAGAGTTTAATTGAATCCAAGACTGAGATTTTTTATTTATTTGTATTATTTATTATTTGTATGCTGTGTGGCTTTTACTCCTTGTTGATAAATGAAAGAAACTTGAAAAGTAACGTGTGCTAAACACACAACGGCATCGATTTTATTAACTTTAATGTAAACGTGGCCTGTAGTTCACAAGCTGTGTCGTATTAAATGTAAGTGTCGTATTAAGATAGTACATTTGTTGGTTTGTGGACAATAGATGAACCAGAGACACAAGGAGCTGAAGAAACAAAAAAACACCAAATAACTTATTTAAAAACTAAACAGACTGATGGTGCAGTAATAACTACTAAACAAACTCAAGGAGACACTGAGGAGAACCAGACATGGCATAAAGTGCAACAATGATCCACTGCAGATGAAAGAGGGCAGTGTTTCCTCTAGGTCACTTGCCTTGAGCGCAGTCATCTCTTCGAGGAGAGATGTGCTCTACTTTTGTGCCAGCAGTTGTCAACGGAGGGGGGTGATGCGTGATTTTAGCTAGCCTTTTTAGCTAGCGCATCTGTATTGCATGCCGCTAGCCTAGAGCTAAGTCAGTGCTGCAAGTTGTCGATGGGGGGGGGGGGGGGGTGTTGCATGAGAAGCGGAGCGCTATGTCAATAGTTTTTAGCTAGTGTGTCTGTATTGCGCGCTGCTAGCTTAGCGCTATGTCAGTGCCGGCAATTGTCGACGGAGGGTGGAGAAAGGGGAGGATCTGTGTGAGAAGAGGAGCGCTACGTCAGTAGCTTTTTAGCTAGCGCATCTGTACTGTGCGCTACTAGCTTAGTGCTACGTCAGAGCTGGCAG